AGCTGGCCCAGCTCAAGGGAGGTAAGGCACCCGCCGGAAAAGGGGAAAAAAAATGGCGGACAGCCTTGCTTGGCGATCCCCGTGAAATGGTCAATCGACCCCAAATGGGATCGCGACCCATAGGTTGAGAACCGCTGCTCGTCTAGTAGAACTTGTTTTATTGCTTATGTCTTTTATAAAAGCAGGAGGAAACACTGCAGGGTCTCCGTAAACTTTAGAATAAGGGCACAGGGAAAGGTTTGTTGACTGCTGAGGAGGCAGGAAGAGGGAAAGGGAACAAAAGGGAAAGAGGAGAAACTGGAAAGGCAACTAAGTTTCTGAAATTCTGCTCCTCTTGCAGCATGGAAGAGAAACCTTTTGCGCATCCGCAAGCTGATTCTGATCGGCGGCCCAGACGATGGGGTCATCATGCCCTGGGAATCCAGGTGAGCTTTCGGACATGGCAAGAAAGAGATTCTGTTCTGAACTGAGAGGAGCGGAGTGCCGATCACCTCTTACAGGTTTTAGCAAGGAGAAGCTGTTTAGCACCACTTGCAACCACGAGAATATTGGAATTGGTGCAGACTTGAGCTGCTTAACTTGGTACCTTAATAATCGATTGGAGCCAGAGAGAGAAAGAGAGCTTGCACTGATCATTCTGGCTGAATCTAATCACGCTTTCCAGTATCTGGCATGTGGGAAGGGACAAACATACACCCTACCTCTTCCACGCCACTCCTGTTTTTGATTTTCTGCAGCAATTTGCAGAGCCATTCTCTTGCTTACATGGAAAGCCCTCGATTTTCCATGTAGAAGTGCAGAGAAGAGCAGCAAGGATGATTAGGGGGCTGGAGGCTAAAATATATGAAGAAGTGTTGCAGGAACTGGGTATGCCTAGTCCAATTAAAAAAAGGAGTAGGAGTGACATGTTATTATTATTATTATTATTATTATTACTTTAATTTATACCCCGCCCTTCTCCCGAAGGACTCAGGGCGGCTTACAGGCAAATAAAAAACGAAACTATACAATAAATATCTAAAAACAATTAAAATATATATTAAATTAGCCTGTTATTTTTAGAAAAGTTATAAAATCCCTATTAAAATCCCTATACAATCCCCCC